TTTGGCCCTATCAAGTTAGTGGTCAGTTTTTCAATGCGTTCTTTGTTTGGCCCTATCAAGTTAGTGGTCAGTAATTCAGTGCGTTCTTTGTTTGACCCTATCAAGTTAGTGGTCAGTAATTCAGTGCGTTCTTTGTTTGACCCTATCAAGTTAGTGGTCAGTAATTCAGTGCGTTCTTTGTTTGGCCCTATCAAGTTAGTGGTCAGTAATTCAGTGCGTTCTTTGTTTGACCCTATCAAGTTGATTGGCCCTATCAAGTTAGTGGTCAGTAATTCAGTGCGTTCTTTGTTTGACCCTATCAAGTAAGTGGTCAGTAATTCAGTGCGTTCTTTGTTTGGCCCTATCAAGTTAGTGGTCAGTAACTCAGTGCGTTCTTTGTTTGGCCCTATCAAATTAGTGGTCAGTAACTCAGTGCGTTCTTTGTTTGGCCCTATCAAGTTAGTGGTCAGTAATTCAGTGCGTTCTTTGTTTGATCCTATCAAGTTAGTGGTCAGTAATTCAGTGCGTTCTTTGTTTGATCCTATCAAGTTAGTGGTCAGTAATTCAGTGCGTTCTTTGTTTGGCCCTATCAAGTTAGTGGTCAGTAATTCAGTGCGTTCTTTGTTTGACCCTATCAAGTTAGTGGTCAGTAATTCAGTGCGTTCTTTGTTTGGCCCTATCAAGTTAGTGGTCAGTAATTCAGTGCGTTCTTTGTTTGATCCTATCAAGTTAGTGGTCAGTAATCCAGTGCGTTCTTTGTTTGACCCTATCAAGTTAGTGGTCAGTAATTCAGTGCGTTCTTTGTTTGACCCTATCAAGTTAGTGGTCAGTAACTCAGTGCGTTCTTTGTTTGGCCCTATCAAGTTAGTGGTCAGTAACTCAGTGCGTTCTTTGTTTGGCCCTATCAAATTAGTGGTCAGTAACTCAGTGCGTTCTTTGTTTGGCCCTATCAAGTTAGTGGTCAGTAATTCAGTGCGTTTTTTGTTTGGCCCTATCAAGTTAGTGGTCAGTAATTCAATGCGTTCTTTGTTTGGCCCTATCAAGTTAGTGGTCAGTAATTCAGTGCGTTCTTTGTTTGACCCTATCAAGTTAGTGGTCAGTAATTCAGTGCGTTCTTTGTTTGGCCCTATCAAGTTAGTGGTCAGTAATTCAGTGCGTTCTTTGTTTGACCCTATCAAGTTGATTGGCCCTATCAAGTTAGTGGTCAGTAATTCAGTGCGTTCTTTGTTTGACCCTATCAAGTTAGTGGTCAGTAATTCAGTGCGTTCTTTGTTTGGCCCTATCAAGTAAGTGGTCAGTAATTCAGTGCGTTCTTTGTTTGGCCCTATCAAGTTAGTGGTCAGTAATTCAGTGCGTTCTTTGTTTGACCCTATCAAGTTAGTGGTCAGTAATTCAGTGCGTTCTTTGTTTGACCCTATCAAGTTAGTGGTCAGTAATTCAGTGCGTTCTTTGTTTGGCCCTATCAAGTTAGTGGTCAGTTATTCAATGCGTTCTTTGTTTGGCCCTATCAAGTTAGTGGTCAGTAATTCAGTGCGTTCTTTGTTTGACCCTATCAAGTTAGTGGTCAGTAATTCAGTGCGTTCTTTGTTTGACCCTATCAAGTTAGTGGTCAGTAATTCAGTGCGTTCTTTGTTTGACCCTATCAAGTTAGTGGTCAGTAATTCAGTGCGTTCTTTGTTTGGCCCTATCAAGTTAGTGGTCAGTAATTCAGTGCGTTCTTTGTTTGACCCTATCAAGTTAGTGGTCAGTAATTCAGTGCATGGTCTTTGCTGGTTGTCTGCCATGTTTTATTTTTATTGTTTTTATCTTTTTGATTTTTTTGTCACTTTTTTCATGCCGAGGACCTTTATAGTTTACTATACGGTATGGGATTTGATTAATGTTGAAGGCGCAGCACTTGCAATTGTCTCTAAAAAAATACCTATATACTTTAGTATAACACAAGGTACCTAACTCGTATATACATGTGTATTTGAGAAATGTCACCCGGTTATGAACTTCCGTAATATTTCGATTCTGCGGTTGTCTATCCCATTGAAACATGTTATGTCGTAAATCTACATTACCTACAAAATGGTGTATAATGCGCCTATTTCTATTGTCGGAATTCTTAGAATCGAAATATAACGGAAGTTCGCAACCGGGTGACATTTCTCAAATATACGAGTTAGGTACTTTGTGTTATATTAAAATATATAGGTAATTTTTTTTTCAGAGTGTGATTGATACCGAGAATTAAACATTTTCATTTGAAGTATTGTTAGTTTTGTTACCAAGAATAAAACATATTCATTTGATTACAATGAAAGTGATTTTATTTTTGGTAACATTCACAGTCTGTCGAGTGAAAGTGTATTAACATGTGTCAATTTAAAGTGTTAATCAAGCACAAACGTTCATGGCAAGATTTTCATTTAGAAGTAACTAACCCTAACCATAAATGAACGCCAAAGAGCATAGATGCCTTAAGTAAAAGAAGGATATTTTCCCTGAGATGGATATGAACAAATACGGGCAAGTGACAAATTTTGACACATTTATTTGTTAATATCAGATAAAGAATAATATTGTAAGTTCGGTGGAGCTATTGATGAAGACAATATTTCTTTAGCCAGTCTTATTAATGTTACTTATTGCAAAACATTTTTGAAGTACGGCATTATATTTTGCCGGCAGTTCGCACTTTGTCAGCAAGTACATGTATGTTAAAGGGGCATTATAGCTGTCAAATTTATGATAACCGATTTAAATTTAATTCTCACATATCTGATACATTACATAGTAAAACTTAAATCCAAATTACAAAAAGTCCAAAAGAAACAATTAGCAATGCTGGGATTCGTTATAATGCACCAGCATTTCAGGTGTATTCTAGAATAGACGCCATATAATTAACCATCGAGATTACCTCCGAAGACTGTTGATAATCATTCGACCGAACAGATATAAAATTATTCATAAATATGAATATAGATAGACTGAGAAGCACGCGGAGTTGTGTAATTATGATTTTCCAGGTCTGTTTGATTTCATGACATAGATTAATAAAAAAATCATCGTTTCACCTGGATATGAATGATATACTGTGGGCCGAATCGGTCAAAGAAATAGTTTTTTTTAATGATGTCTCCCTGGTTTCACTTTTCCAGATTGACATTCTTTTAATAACTGAACACGCTTAGGGCATGCGTAACCCATCTTTAGCTTAAGGTCAAGTTGGGATTAAATGAATACGGGTTCAACTGAGGTTAAATTATTGACTTGCAAGTCAACAATACAATTGCGATGTTTTCGATCTTATTTTGACCAAATTGAACTAACTGACTGTTAATAGAAAAGTATTGTTTCATTATTCTGCTTTTATAAATAAAATAAATCTTATTCTTTTTTGTCTAAATGACAGCTAATGCACCTATAAGAAACAAGTAGGACCATTATTTTCCGAACTGTTTTATATTTGGAAGAAGCTAATAGAAAAGTATAAAAATATTTGACGACTGGTTATGGAATTGTTTTTCTCTAATTCTTCGTCAATTTATCCCTTTCTGCACCCATTGTATAAAAAAATTTAATTAACGTGTGGTTCGTTTGATCTCAGTTCTTCATTGGTTAAAATCTGATTAGTCATCGAATTTTCTTGCTTTCCTCTGAATTTCCTATTGTGACGGCATGAAAAAAGGCGACCATGCCTGATGACGTCAAATAGAAAGAACACATCTTTTTTTCAGATCATTCGAAAAGAGGGATTCTAACATGACGTTCTTCAAACGCTTTGAGTACACACCCGTGGTAAAATATGAATATATTGTTTGGGCTGTTCCGATCGTACTCCCGCGTCATATGCTTTTTTATGAATGAGCTACCCGACGTCATAGAACGATGACGTAAGAATATAAGCATTTTACGGGAAAATACACGCTTGTGAAACCGAAAATCATCACAACAAGGAAACGTAAACAAACGATGCTAAAATGTGTTATATAAGCCATTTTTGTTTCCATATAAGACATATAAATACAATTATCATTTAGATTCATTCAAACCTATCTAAATATGTCATTGTAAATAGTTTAAGCGTGTCATTTATTCAGTTTGCTCCGGTCTTTTACGTCAATTTAATAGTGCGTTTATTTATGGGAACGGCAAATAATGCTTTCATCTAGAGCGCTTCGATCCAAAACAATTGCCGAATTTGTCCTATTAGAATCGAAATAATTCATGGGGCTTGAATATATCGTGATTTTACCACGGGTTGTCCCTTTATGCCTATATTTTACCCCTCGCTATCGCTCAGGGTAAAATATTTGTCATAAAGGGCCAACCCGTGGTAAAATCACAATATATTCAAGCCCCCATGAATTATTTCTTAAATAAGTTTGCATGCATATTGTTTGAAAATCATTAGAGAAACAGATTCCACCACCAAATCTCATGTCATACAATATTTATCCACTCTCGACAGTTAAATTTTAAATATTTAAAACGCTCGGCGAGCCTCGCGTTTTAAATGTGAAAATTTAACTGTCTCGAGTGGATAAATATCGTATCACACTCGATGCAGTGGAAGAATCTTTATTTATCAATAAATGTAAATAACATGGTGTACCTATTGAAGTAATGTGTATTATAAATAAAAGGGAGTGTATGTCACAGTCATGAGACAAAAATTACCAACTAACTTTGACTGATAAACTCGTATACACAAAAATCAAGATAGACTCCTAAATCATGTATTAAAACAATAGTCTAAAATTTTGGATGATAAAACAAATAACATTCACACTGTTGTGTAATTTGACATACTAATCCTGACTTTATGAGATCACTGAAACATTTAATCAGCATTGTTTTGTAGAATTATTGTGAATGATCTTCTTCGGATTACAGCAACATTTCTTAAAAATCGATAGCATTATACCTAATTTAGATTTCTTGACGTTTGTTTTCGTAAACATGATACAAAACTCTATAATAATTTGAACACGGTTATAAAATCTCATCAAACATTTATTACTTTGTAGTCGAGGAGATCGTCTCTGTCACAACTACCTGTATCACGTGACTGTGGCAAAAAGGCAAAATATTCTCCGATTGGTCAATCGAAGAAGACAGATTCTCACGATTTTGAATTAACAAATAATTGCATAGGCTGCAACTCGAGGAAGGCAGGTGAGAAATGCAAATGTACGGACAATCAAGAAACGTCTGGTGTAGATATGGCGTTTAGCGCCATCTATGGAGGTGGACGCGGTGGAAATATTTCTAAAAACCGGGTAAAACAGCATACAGACGACAGTAACATAGAATTACAAAATGATTCTGACACTTGTTCACGATGTCGAATGTCCAGCACATCGAGTCAAAATGGCAGTGATACGGTGAAACTGAACGTAGGAGGGACCGTGTTTGAGACCTATACGTCTACACTGAAAAAGTTACGGACTTGTAAATTATCAAGAAGTTACGAAATGAAGAAGTATTATCGAGAAGACAAGGGAGACTACTTTTTAGACAGGGACCCTCAAGTTTTTTCTGTTGTTCTGAACTATTTACGAACAGGAGAATTACATATCCCTACTTTTCTATGTGGTCCTATTTTGCAAAGAGAATTCGAACACTGGGGAATAGATGAATTAGACATTGAACGTTGCTGTTGGCAACCATACAATACTTGGAAAACGCAGAATAGATCCTTGGAAAAATTAGAAAGTGATCGTAAAAAGTCAACAACACAAAGAGACTTGAAATGTGACCGCAATAGTCCGTCCCGATGGAAACGGGTGCGGGCGATAGTCTGGAACGTCCTACAAGACCCAACATCATCATGCGGTGCAAAAGTAAGTATTGGTCTGATAACAAAATACAGGTATAAATACAGTGTATCAAGATTGTCGGAAAATGAAATATAAATGCATAAGCTAGTGAAACTATACCGCCCGGCTTTTCTCATATTTTCCGTCGATCTTACAAAATTATTACTATATTCCCATAATAGAAGAGAAATGACAGGGTATTTGTTTAGAATTCAAATTGTTCAATATCACCCTTTTTTAAACGTAAAATAGCTAACGACAGGATAAGAATATTTATAGTAGTATGTGCCCCGAAAGAAAATCGGAACTTCGTTACTTTTCATGCAATAGAGACGGGAAGAGAACTGAAGCAATTGTGTTCATTAAATCAAACTGAAAATGTCTCATATCCATCGGTCAATACAAAACCGGAGGACAGTGTAAAAGATACAAAAGCTGTAGTTTATTCTTAGAATATCATATAACATACTCATACAAACACTATACAAATGCATCTAATATAAACTGACACAAACTGATGTAAACTGACTGTTTTTACCGGGTTTACAACTAGGGAAAACAGAAAATCTTTTTTTTTATCGTAACAGAGAAGAAAACAATCGGGGGAAAAATGTTTCTCCTGGTAAGGCGAGATGAAATTTTCACAAGCGGCCGCAGCTCCCCGATGAAAAGAATGTCTTTATTTTTATTGAAATTAGAAAATTTTGTGACTGGCGTACAATTCATTTGTACGATTTTCATTTAAATGAAGAAAATGTGTGATTACATCTTATTATTTTGACTGTTTTAACAAATTCAGAATATTTTTGGATTGATTAACGAAAACGTAAACTTAGAATTATAAGGGGAGATAACTTGATTTCATAAAGGAATATTCAGTAAATATTTTTTTTGTAATATAGCAAGAATAATGTACGATGGTCCTATTTTATTTCATTATTTACTAAAGATATTTTGTAATATAGAGCTATCTTCGCATCTTTCAAGATTATGTCATTAAGTTTTCTGTCTATTCACCAAAAGATTCTAATGTGAGATAAGATCTGGTATTTGGTGCACATTTCACGATTTTGTATTTCGTGTGCATTAACGTTAGCTTCATAGATTAATTAATTACTTGCAAGACTAAAATGTCAAACGTAATGACAACGTTGTTATTGCAGCACAAACTATATCTCTATGACAATATGGATTTAGTACTGCTAAATCTATTGTACAATGATGCTGGTTGAAATGTATCTTTCTCGGTATTCAACATAGTTATATGTTATAAGATGTGTACCACATGCTGCTGTATATTTATCAACCAACATTCAAAAATCTAAGGTTGAATATTTTTCAAATATAAAGCAATACCCGACAAACAAAGGGATATATGAAGGTGTAGATGGATGGGGTTTACAGAATAGAGGATAATGGGCCAAAACCATAGAACAACTTCGGCAACAAAAATAAATAATAGAGAAAAAAGGCCACATAAATAAAGAATAAATAAAATAGGCCACAAAAATAAAGAATGAAGAAAAATAGGCCACAAAAATAAAGAATAGAGAAAAATAGATATAAACTAAGAATAAATAAAAACATGCCACTTAGTAGAATAGAATAGAGAATAAAGGGGTGATAAAATATAAGGATTATTATAGAATAACGGATAAAATTTAGAAAGAATAGAGAAAAATGGCCGACAAAGATTAAACTTTGGAATGATACACTCAATTTTCAAGATATTTAAGTTTTTGAATATTATAATCACTAGCTTATACCCAAAATTCAATTGATGATTTTACAGGGTTCGTTTACATATACTCATCATACAAGAAGGATTAAAATTTTGTAATTCAGACGCGCGTTTCGTCTACAAAAGACTCATCAGTGACGCTCATATAAAAAAATAAAAAAAGACCAAATAAAATGCGATGTTGAAGAGCATTGAGGACCCAAAATTCTTAGAGTTTTTGCCAAATAAAGCTAAGGCAATCTATTCCTTGGGTAGAAAATCCTTTGTATTTTGAAAAAAATTCAAAGTTTTGTAAACATCTAATTTATAATTCCTCGCTCTTTAGTAACTGTTGGACAGTTGTCGAATTGGCAAATCATACATGTTGCACATCTACTTATTATTTTCCATATTAATATGTCCGAACGCAAGCTTGGTTGTACCATTTTACTATTCTAAATTGGGTTGGCAAATTGACCGAAATTGTAATAGTAGATTGCTGTACAATCATACCACATCTTCTTATTTTTATACCAAACATAAAAATTTAAAAGAAATTGTACTTTTCCTGAAGGGAATTCTAGTAAAAAATCATAAATCTTTTTTACGGGCGTATAAGGATTAATGAAAATACAGCTAAGAAGTCTTAATCCCCACCTGCTGATGCTGCTAACGAAAAACAATATTATTTGCTCCACTTTCAATCAAATATGAAACTGCATCGAGTTACGACACGATTAACACGATCGTTTTTCATTATATGTATTTTGTATCACAATTTACTATGGCTGATGGAGTTAGATGACCAATTGGTTTAAACTATCATTTTACAGAAAAGTACAGCTTACACTAAGTTTACATATACCGTTACAGGCTCAAATCAGTTCCAAAGATCTGAGTAAAAAACAACAGTCTTTCGTGAATTTTCATTAAAATTTATATCATCTTTAAAAAATGTTCCTCTGTCAAATCATTAAGTTCCCAAGTCTGGAAAAATGAGAAAAAGCCATTCGAACAATTCCATAATAGCAGATGCATATTACAATAAAAGTGCAACCATTATATGAAGTTTCAAGGATTTTGATCGAAAACTGTAGGAGGAGTTGATTATACAAAATTGGTACCGTCTTTGCGTTAATTTTGATGACAAACGACGAAGTTCCAGAGTCTGGAAAAATGAGAAAACGTTCATCAAACAATTACATAATACTAGTAGCAGATGCACAATTTAAACATATGTGTAAGCATTCTATTAAGTGTTAAGGATCAGGGTTGAATTTAGGAGTTGATTACCCAAACAACGTACTTACTTTCCGCCCGACATCACCATACTATAAGCCGGTTTTGGATTTCGTCCAATCCGGCCACAAATGAAAAGGACACTCTAAGCCAAAAACCCATTAAAATATATGTTTAATAGCTTTAAGTCTTTCATAGATGTTTCTCAGTAGTATTTTTATGGGGTTTTTATGGTCCCGAATCATCCTCTATGTACAATATTCATATACAAAGAAAATTTACAGTAATTTGTCTATATCGTTTACACTCAATAAAACTTGGCGCTAAAATGGTCTGTTGGAACATTTCTCTCTTTTACTTATCGATCAAAATTTAAACCTAGGATTATACAATCATAAATGAAAATGTTATCTCAACAATTCTTATCTAACTAATGTAGAAAGACTTCATCTACAATTTAGATATACGCGTAATTGGTGTTCGCTTTTTATTTACATTTACATATATAGTACCTTGTTTTCAACCAAATAACCATGTCTGAAAAATAGCAAAATTTAGTTAAAGCTTACCTGCTCCTTAGGATAACTCTTTTGCCTACTTGGTGATCCGTCGACGCCTTTCAGCTTTTATTTAAATGCTCTCATCGTTTCCTCTGAACTATCAAGTTGAACTATGAGTAAATTTGAACTAGCCATGACAGGAACAAAGTCTCAAAGTCTCAATTTACGATTTACTACCAAATATTTGGCTTGATACGGGCACGTTACAAAAAAAAAAGCACAAAGGAAGTTAGTAGCATCCCATACCCCAAACGTGGCATTTCAGTTGAAAACTCTCCATCCAACAGGCCATGAATGTGTACTTATACATCCTTGACTTCAATACCTATATTAGAATTTTTTAATTCATAAATATTTGCAACTGGACATAGCACAACTACATGTACTTTGAAACTAAAAAGCCAAAACGTTTAACACAATGATGTTAAGATGACTTTCTAAAAGAATATCCGTTTCCTACAGATGGACAGCACAATTTGTCGGCAGACGACACCGGGTCAGTGGAATTTCTATACTCTACAAGTAATAGTACACGACACCCTACACAATACTGATTTCAAGAAAGGTTTAATGGATATGTGTATTTTTCATTTTACTTTAACCAGTTTTAGTCAGTATAATGTTATGCCCGGTGGATAAGTTCACGCGTAGCTGTAAACACGATGGATATGTGATTGTTGTTTGCTTAATGTCCAATGGCAAATATTTCATACATGTTTAGTACGAAGCGTGTGAGGAAGTCCGATAAATATTTCATGCATGTTTAGTACGAAGCGTGTGAGGAAGTCCGATAAATATTTCATTTTTAATTTCTCGATCCTAATTAAAAATTCTTAAATCGACCGGAGTTCTATTTTACTATAAGAAGAAATAATTAACAGAATAATCGGCAGTCAATGTATTTTTTTTTTCTTGTTTACATTCATAAAAAATATATGATTTTTTCTAAAAAGTGATGTATTTCTTTCGATAAATATAAGCAAAAACAGCCTTTTTTTTAAAGAAATCAATTAAGATATAAGCAAAAAGTATTCGATGAATAGAATTTACATTTACCAAAATCTTTGTTAAATAAAAATAAGAAGATATGGTATAATTGCCAATGAGACAACTCTCCACTAGAGACCAAATGACATAGAAGTTAACAACTATAGTTCACAGTACGGCCTTCAACAAAGAGCAAAACCCATACCGCAAATTTAGCATAACATGTTTGTTATTGTTAAATCAAGCACGTATACGGAAACCAAGAACACAGTATGTACCGTCGTATTCACGTTTTCACGAACGGTCCATGCTGTATCAGTGGCATTAGATGTACCTCGTAAGAATTCATTTCCCATTCGTAACTGCTTCAATTTTATTCTAAAAAATGTCTATGGATTATTTTTCATCAGATTTGGGTGTGCCATAGAGTCATGAAGTCACGTGATATTTTTTTCATAGTTATAGATTTAAACGGGATCAAAACTTAATTTAAGTGGTCGTCTCTCGTGTTTTTATTGATTAAATATTCCAAAAACCTGTTTTCCAATTAACGGTAGACAGTCAAAGTGTTACAAACAACTTGTATAGCTCTTATTGTTTACATATCCAGAAATCAACGCCACTTTGCTTATTTGAATATTATACTAAAGAAATCGGATACGGGTCACGGAAATTATATTGAAATGATAGGGAATTTTGAAAAAATGTCTGTTTTAACTTTGATTTAAGTGATGGACAGGATGCCGGGGCAGAAAATAAATATACACAACAATATACACCATTTAAACGAAATATAATGACTGTCGTTGCAAAAACCAAGGTTCCTGAGCTATTTTAAAAATCGAAGCGAGAGGCTTTTAAAATTGCAGTATAAAATACAGGCTAAAATGGCAGAAACGTCAAATTTGCAAACTTCGTGTTGAAAATTGGCTAACAAGGTCATTAGAAATACAGGTTGCCGGGGTGAAACTTGAAACTTGAATGTCCAAAGAATAAGCAAGTCCAAACCTTGTATGTGTAGTCGTTGAACTCTAGTTTCCCACGTAAAGTTAAAATGCCTCTATTTCAAGAAGAATAAACTCACGAAAACACGAAAAATTCACTAAATTCGCGTTCATTGTTTTGATTTTGACCGCCTGACAACTTTACGGAAATATCAGAGTGATTGTAAACAAGGACTCTGTGACGGGCAACTTATAATATCCGTGTTTTAAAGATTTTAATGATATCAAGCCAGTCCAGTTCAAACTATTATCACGTGGTACAATTCTCATTTACATATTATGAATATTAATTAGCAAAAGTACTACTAATTTCTGGCTATGATGTCAAAACTGTAGCTGTAAAGTGTACGTATTTTCTTGTAGTAAAGAATTTTTACACATTTTTTTGTTTCGTTTCAGATATATGCTTGGATTTCCATTTTATTCGTTTTCCTTTCCATATTTTCATTCTGTGCGGAAACGCACCCGGCTTTCAAGGTAGATAGAGGCACGCTCAAGTCTTTTGAAGCTTTATATAGCATTCAACCCGACGCTACATACTTAACAGAAGCGACTGTTACCATTCCAAACACGTTGAACAGCACGAACTCAAATCAAACTGCTGATCAACGAGTAACACACCCTGCCTTGAAAATCATTGATTTATGCTGTGTCACTTTTTTCACCGTAGAATTTATCTGTCGGTTTGTCTTTTGTCCGGCTAAATTGCAATTTATCACTACAGCACAAAATATCATCGACATTCTTGCTATTTTGCCGGATTATGTGGAGTTTATAATATACATTATCAACCCATCTGGAGAGAAAATGCCTTTTATGGAATTTATTGTAATTCTGCGCATGCTCAGGTTATGTCGTATATTCCGGTTAATTCGCCATGTGCCTGGATTATGGATTTTACTGTATACATTGAAAGCTAGTTTCAACGAACTTTTGTTAATGTTTGTCTTCTTGTTGATTGGTATGATAGTTTTTGCTTCGCTTATTCATTTTGCAGAATCCGATAAAGGATTTGATAACATTCCAATTGGCTTTTGGTGGAGCGTTGTAACTATGACTACGGTTGGCTATGGGGATAAGTTTCCTCAAACAGCATACGGTTATATTGTAGGATCTCTATGCGCAGTCTCAGGACTTCTTATGATAGCTTTTACCGTACCAATAATTGTTAGTAATTTCGTACTTTATTACACGCATGTGCAATATGGACTGGGGAAAATTGAACGCACGAAAAGAAACGCGTTTGAGGAAGAAGAACAAGGTCTTATTAGTGACGATGAAAGTGAAACTGAGTGTATTGAATCAAAAGAGATCCTAAAAGTAAAAGAAAATGGCCACGGAAACCACGTGACTGACGGCAATTACAATAAAGTGTCAATTTCAAGTGAAGACAACAGTCCAGTATGAACAATTCATTTTTTATTGCATTCAAGATGGGTTTTTTTCCTAAGACATGTTAGCTATTTATTACATTGTCATTTATACACAATATTATTTTGAAATATTTTTAAAAAGGAATATTCCATTTAAGGAATGACTAATATTTTTTTTGTCTATGAAGAAATAACATAAAAAATGTGGTGCACACTGAATAACCCGCGTAGATTGTTATTTAAAAATGTGCACCACATTTTTTAGTTCATTTCGAATAGACAGAAAAATATAACAGCCATTCCTTATAATTTGATTCTAAATTCCATTTTTCTCGGGAGCAAATCATGAAAAAAAAATCCGTTGATGACGTCACGGTCACATGACAAAATTATGTCTATGAGCTGATAGACAAAAAAAATCTCTCAGCCAATCAAAAGACGTGTTACATCCAAAATTAAATTATTTATTTATTTAAATATATTTATGTGCATGATCGAAGAACGATGACATTTCACGGTTATTCATGATACCTCAAAAGCTGTCTCGCTTTAGATTTTTTTTTTAAAAATAATTCGCGTCGACATATATCTGTTTAAGATTGTTCATTAACTTTCATAACATGTACAAATATGAACATGAAATGTAAAATAGAGAATATTGGAACATTGATGAAACCCAATGGAATTTGAATATTAGAATATCTGACTGTTACACTTAAGGATGTTCGCTACTCTTGATTTTAACTTTTTGTCAGATACTCGGTATCCTCTAGTTTCACCAATGTTATAAACATTTGGCCCGCTAAACCCTACTTTTCTTTTTCATAATTTTAATCCATATAGTTTAAAAGGCCAATTTTGAAAATCTTGTGATATATTTGTTTTTTTTCATAGTTTTCGAAAGAAAAACAGGTGCCAATGTTAAATGTATGAAAAATCTAGAGAAAATTCTTTCCCGCCTAATTTTAAATTGATTACATCTCAAAAACAAGGGTTGTTTTCTTATATCCGGTTCGTATCGACAAACACGGACCTTTCATTTTTTTCTGCTTTTAAGTTCCATTATTTATATACTATCAATTTATAACTGTCATTTTGAAAGCTTGCTATTTTGAAACAGAGTAGCGAACATCCTTTATATAGAAATTACAACTTTTATAAAAAAAAATCCATTACATGAAATATGAGATTTCCTTAAACACTTATATTTCTATGATATATTTTCCTTTTTTTTATTTTGACATACATCAATATTTGTATATACCATATTCCCTAAGACTTGCAATTCAAGTTCATTCCGGTTATACATTTTTTTATATGGCATTTAAATTTTATTTTTGCTAGGATCGATAAATTGATCGCAACAGCTGGCAGTATTCCACCCACTTATTTCCCTAAAATAACTTTTCTCCACTATCATTTTCAATTGTTTTATTTATTCTGTTATTAGAGGACGTGCGCAGTAAAATATAATTTTACTTACGATTAGTCAGTACTTTAACAGTCTTTATCTAATTAACGTAGACATTTATTTATGCCACGAACTTGAAACCAAACGTTTTGTTTCAATTAATAATTCATACCATTTTATGATTTAGATATCTCTGACCGATAATTGAATACCAAAGGACTAAGCAGGGGTTATTCGAACAAGAAAGAATCTGTGTTAATCATTTAAGGTCAAAAGTTTGTTACCAAATATTTCAGATCCAAATTTTGATATAGAAAATGTATGAGGTCATAAGGCTGTGTATACTCTGCCCAAAATTGCGATCAGGTATTGATTGAGTACCTTTTTTGCATTAAAGACAGCTGCTGTAATACGGGGTATTATAATTTAAGATTTAAGATTTTGAAGCAGTGTTTGTTAATGATGTAAGCAGCCTTTTCGTTGCGTACTTAAAGAACATGCAGGCTGTCTGTCACCTGGTCACTCATTGTCCGTCGATCAAATAGTTCTCCATATCGGTACAACACACACTATATTTAGAATATTTATTGTAGAAGTGCTGTTTTGAATATTTAACCGTGAATATCACCGGTGTAGAGTAAACCAGAACCCTCAAAGCACATTTGACATGGAAAGCTCGGCCTCTAGCATCATCGAAGAGACATGCACATCCGGTACAGTAACATTAATAACGTTTAATAGCTCGGCCTCTAGCATCATCGAAGAGACATGCACATCTGGTACAGTAACATTGGTAACGTTTAATGATATAAGAACGTTTACACTGTTTATTTATTCAAATGTGGAAAAAAAGTAAAGAAATTTGTTTGCCAGTGTACCACGTGCATACTGATTGAAAAAAAAGGGCAGACTTTAAATAACGTAACCGGCAGACTCTTAAGAACTTCTTAAGAATAGGACTTTGAAAATGCCAATACATTATGTATGAGTAGTGAAATTTATGATGTTGGTAAATTTATTAAACTTATAACAGTTAACAGAATACATTTTCGCTCGTTACATATACACAAGGTGTTTGTAGTGTAAACGTTTGATAAAATATTCAGATTGGTGTCAAGAATGAATTTTCGAATAGACTTTCTTTGAAGTACCAATGTTGTATAAGAAGTAAAACAAAGTTTCTAAATGTATCGAAAACAATGGATTAAATAACAAATTAAAAAAATCTGTGTAATTGCTGTTCTTACCATATTAACATCCCTGGACTTGCCTACCTTTAAAAGGTATTTTTCTCAAAGATAAGAATATTGAATTTCTTCCCTTAAAACTCTGTCGTACCAATTATTAAAAACCTGATTTATTTATTTTTTCAAAATTTGTATTTAGATATTTTAAATATTTAGCATCTAAATTACGAGGACGTCTGTTCAAATCTTTTATTTCCATTCCCTTTCTAATTCTGCATCAATATATTGTTAAAAAACCCAAAGGTTATCTGTCAAATTGAATTTAATGTACTTTGGTATTTTGTGGAAAGTAAGTGTTGATACATAGCCTCAGTCATAGGCAATCATACTTCACCTATCTTTCGTAATGCAGGCAATGAAAACATTTTCCCAGGAAAAGATTGGTATAGTTTTTCCGCTTCTTCTTACTTTTTTTTTTATGAAACTAAGCTACAAAATAATTTACCATCTCTTTGTATTTATTTTTAATGATGTTAATATGATTATTCAATTTCTTCTTTTTATAAGGTTGTATCAAAGAATTGAAAAAAAGCGAGATTTTTATACGTATCTATATGCAACCTCTTGTAGATATATTATTAATATGGTGGGCATTATTATCACAATGTGTTCGTTATGAAATGATGACCCCTCCTCCCCCTGAACATTCGGATGCTTATGTAAAGTTTTATTTACATTTATTGATTATCCGTAAATGTTCTTTCAATTTAATTGACTATCTTTTTGTGTACTGTTTATTGTATATTTAAAAATATTTATTTAGAAAATAATGTTATCATAAAATTATACTTTATTACATTTCATTTTATTATATATAGTTATTGTTATACTGTTACAAGCTAAACATTATAGTTATTTTATATTTCAACTAGAACACACCCGCTACATCGCGGGTCCGTGAATGAATTAAAGAACCTACGCCTTATTTTCAGCGTGGATTTTTAGTATTCGTATTGTCATATGATAAAGTCATGCTGATTATAAGGTGCACCGTTTTCTCTGCTTTCAAAATCTTTGTTTGAATCCGTCCTAGTTTTCATAATACAACCGGAAACTATTTGTGTATATATATCTTTTGGTCAATTATTGAATTTAGTGGTCTAAATCCTTGTATAATGACCAAGTTCAGTTGTGATTATGACCCGTATACATAGCAAATCCCAAATACACCGTTTGGTGGTGCGCCTGACAAAGGCGGAACGTACAGATAAGGTAACATGAATCAGGTACTGGAATCGATATCGGATTCGACCCGGAACTTGTTAATTATTGGTAATATTAATTATGTGGAAAACAAAAGGGCCTGGAATGGTGTAATTTTTAATCAAAACCATTTTCCTATAGTAGTTATATATAAAGTTGGTTTCTTTGATTCGTCGTTTTTACGTCATGCCAGCTAACAAATTGGACCTCGTTATTTTAGTAGTATAGATTTCATTTAATAGGGTCCTTAGGAAACGCTAGGTGAAGTTTTTTTGCTGGTTGTAAGGTATCCGGTCTAGAATTTAAAAAAAGTCACGTACATGTATTCATTATGCAAAGCAAACCTATAATAAAACCGGCAAATATTCAAACAGTGCGTGCAGTAAATTTCATTAGAGTATTAAAACTGTGTTTTATAGATGATGATGGTGATGACGATGGATTAGTGTTTAACCTCCAGTGGAGAATATTACATGTATATCAGGACGTGAACATGCTAATGTGATACTTATGATTAATATCCACGCTTATTGCACTAGATCGAAAAAGTGAACGTTAGTTTTATCGTGCTAGTTCACAAAGTAACAGTCTGCAAGAAGGTATCCTATACGGACACATTATTCTGAATCCTATCCGACAAGTTTTTGGGTTGACTGACCGGCAAAAAAACCCGTGACCTTCAACGTTCACGCAACCACGAAACCACCTAGGCGATTTTATAGCTGTTCGCAAATATTAAAGTTGATAAAGAATTAAGTTTGTATCATATATTAATATTATTTTACCACGATTTGGTTTATGGTCTGGATAGTATAATGTTATGTCCAAGAGCATAATTGTATCTTTAAAGTTTCTGTTTTTAGTATATATCAGAACGTCCGATAATTTTCGCTCAGAGGGGTATCCAACGTTTTCAAAAGTAGCCATATTAAATGAAACTATTGAGTTTGTTGATTCGATTAATTGTCGCTTACTTTATACGGCTTTTTTATTTCTAAATCTGTTATCTGTGATTTCAGAAAAAAATATTTTATGACATAAAAGCTGTCATGTCAAAACAGAAAACAAATCTTGTGTTTTATCGAACAATATGTACACGTCACACCATTTAGCTCTCCCGGTAAATCTACAACGAAGACATTGATTACGGAATAACGGATTGCCAAACAGAAGTAAGATTATCAAAATGCGGTATGACGGAATCACAGTTATCGCGCTTACAATATAAACATTGTCATAAAATCACAACCATTAGTATTGAAAACCTGTTGGGATAATCGTAATAGGGCATCAAATTATTTTTGCTTCTGTGAAGTATGATATTGTTGCTTGGTAACACTTATTGTATGATATATTTCTGCACATTTAAGTATTATTTATAAATTTTCATTGACATATATATGTATCATTGTTCATATTCATTTACGAATGTATTGTTCTGTGATATTGAACCATTCCTTCATCAAACATTTGTAAATATTGCCTCATTGTTAAACAGTTGTGGATATTTTATACCCCACGTTTTACCTTCTGTAAATAAATCACATTTGTTGATCTAATCTTGTGTGTAGTTATTTTACTGAATTGTAGAATATCGATGAGAGCTCCAATTTAAAACGCCTATGCGGAGTAAAGCAAAAATCAATTAATCAACCAATCAATCAATCAAATCAACAGAAAAACGCGATTTTCAAACTGATTTTCACCGTGTTTATGCCCCACCTACGAAAATAATAGGGGCATTATGTTTTCTGGTCTGTGCGTCCGTTCGTTCGTTCGTCCGTCCGTCTGTCCCGCTTCAGTTAAATTTTTTGGTCAAGGTAGTTTTTGATGAAGTTGAAGTCCAATCAACTTGAAACTTAGTACACATTTTTCCTATGATATGATCTTTCTAATTTTAATGCCAAATTAGAGTTTTGACTCCAATTTCACGGTCCACTGAATATAGAAAACGATAGTGCGAGTGGGGCATCCGTGTACTATGGACACATTCTTGTTTCTAATGTTGTTCCGTTACCATGATGACATCACTAACCCAGGTTAGAGGGGATGATTATAGCGCTAACAAACATGTTTAACTCGGCGAGTCTTTCTGTGCATCCAAAGCCAGGAGCCTTGTTGTTTTATGGAGTTGTTTGTTTTTTTTTGCTTTCGGCTATGTTGTTGTTTGTCCTTCTTCGACCGATGATTTTTAATTGCCCCTTGGGAATCATCGAATATATTTATGGATACCGTTGGAAAAAAAATGGTGTTTTATGCACCCATCCTGAGTACCTTTTGCCAGATTGCTGATCGAAATGAAAAAAAAATGAGAGAGTTTAGATCTGAATAAAATTTATTAAAACCTTCAATATGTCACGATATGTAAAAATAAGAAGATGTGGTATGATTGCCAATGAGACAACTCTCCACCACGGATCAAATGACGTAGAACATTAGCAACTATATGTCAATGTATTGCCTTCAACCAAGAGCAAAACCCATACCGTATAACAAGTTATAATAGGCCCCGAAATGACAAAACAATTCAAACGAGAAAACTAAAGGCCTGATTTATGTACAAAACAACAAACGAAAAACAAAAATGATACACAGCAACTAACGAGCACAAGTGAATTACAGACACATACATATTATGGCGGAGTTAAAATGTCTGTGCCTGTCCCAAGTCAGGAACCTCGTCGTAGATTTTCTTTTGCCAAATCTTAACGACTTTTGTCATTTGGAAAATGTGATGTTCACGCATGGGAGGGGTTTTGTTAAATTTATTCACAACACTTTTCAACTGCGGAGAAATTTAAAGCTCAGATATTGTATATTACACTTTAACACCTGTATATTGCTGAGGATTGGATGTTTACATATAGAGCCGTTGAGTTGTGTTTCATTGACGTCCCCAACATCTCTACTTATAACTTTTTTGACACGATCGTCACTGATGAGGCTTTTGAAGACGAAACGCGCATCTGGAGTTTATAATTTTATTCCTGTTATCTATGATAAGTTCATTTACAACCACTGTGTCGATGCCACTGCTGTTTACAAAACTTTGAATGGAATTTCGTTGATCAATGGATCGAGATAAAAAGATAGGTTTATGTACCAAACAATGCTAGCATAACCTTGTAATATGATTATCTCTGTCCTCTTGATAATCTGGTGTGGAGGTTGATCTTAAGATCTTTAATAGTTTCTGTAAAGTGCTTGTACAACATGCCCATATTTGGGAATATTTTTATTACATCATCACTTGTCTTTTGTAGAAAACCATGCATATACTGACTCTTTGATTATCTGTTCATCACTTTTATCTTTCGTTTTCTTCTCTTACATCTAAATTTTGATATCTGAGTTAAGGTTTCAGATACAATGTGACCTACTGTCATATATCGTGATATTAGGAAGAATCCATGATAAGTAAAGGCTACAGTTGCTGTATTTTATCGATGTTCTAAACTTGTAAGTGTATTTGAAATATGACAACATTGAGGAAAATTTTGAGAAATGAAATGACCTATACATGTAGGGACATCGATAGCGTCGATAAATAAAAAAAAAAAAAAAACCATTTCATGCATCCAAAGCGCTTTTCCTGATAAACAAAACAAGCATCTTCTGTTATGAATGCATTATCCTCTATGAAATAACAAAATGAGTAAAAAATGTCATGCCAGAGAATCGGACACAAGCGCTACATTTTCTGATGAGAAGTCCTACAAGAGAGGCTAACTAACGATATCAAAGAGATATTCAAACTCAAAAATCGAAAACAAACTGACAATGTCATGCCAAAAACGAAAAACGATCAATAGACAAACAACAGTATACAAAACACAACATAAAAAACTAAAGACTGAGTAATACCACCAAAAACCGGGTTGATATCAGGTGTCCCGTCGTGTTGCTCATGTAGGTGATAAGTCTAAAACGGTAGGTCACATTCGAGGAAAGAGGACGGAATTGGTTGTGGTTACGACAATTGGAATTTATCTGTTGTCATCTGTGAAACAGATATTCCATAATGGTCAACAAACTCTCATTCATACAATTTTCGAAGGATGATTTCAACTTTACCACTTGGAACTCTTGGTTTAATAGCTTCCTTTGTTGTCAGCAACCATGTGGCATGTTGCTACATAGGAATGGAAAGTTTACAATTGGTAAGCTGAAATCATCTCTTTTGTCAAAAATGTTTGTTCTCAATTAGAATGATGTAAAAGATGTCTCTCGTGAGTTGAGACAAATACATAACTGTGCTTGAGAAGTTTTGTTTTCGAAGAACATCTCTGCTAATGATGTCCGTGTAAATCGAACATTTGTGTGCGAGTTGGTTTTTATGTGCTTCGTCCTGATCTAATGTGCCAAGATCTTTCCTACTGATTTTACATTTTGTTCATATGTTGTGGTGTTACACGACTATTCCAGGTTAGGGGGGAGTTGAGCGCACACAAACATGTTCAATTTTAATCATATTCATTATTTGCCTGTCATATTTTAGGAGCATGTAATTCAGTGGTTGTTGTTGGTTACTGTCTATATTTATGGCCTACTATACGATTTGGAATTTGCTCGTTATTGACCTATAGATGCTTACACCGATGTTGTTTGGTTTTAGTTGGATAGTTTGCACATTGACATTCATTCCACATCTCCTTTTTTATACTATATTCTGGTGCAGACGGTCAGTTACTACATAGAATATGGATAGCTGACACTCGGAAACTGAAATCGTCACGTTTGTTATTTAACATACTTGGAAGTCGTCCATCTGATTCAATTTACAAAACATATCCAGACAAGGCATTCTAGGTTTTGTAGTATTTCTAATGCCAAGTTCACTGGAAAATCTGATCAGGTGTAAGTAATCGCTGAATTTTAACTTTATAGTACAGACTATAGATCGAGGGTTCAGAGCAAAAAGGGGTTATCTGCATATTTCATAGTTTTGAGAAAATCAAGTTTAAAGGTTTATCAAATTATCAAAAATTAGTTTGTCATCTATATGATCTATAAATTGGTCAAATATGAGATAATGTTGGTGTGTGTAATTTGTCAAAAGTTTGGAATGATTAAGTAAGTATAAATAGGATAAAAGTAGGTCAATGCAGATAGCCCCTTTTTGCCTATTGACAAAGGTGACAAAAAATTAGAGCAAAAATGTGCTATCTGCCATATAGCACCTTTTTGCTCAACATTTTTTCTGTTTAATCATGTTAGTGTTTTAAATATTATCAATCTATTATTGCTTAAGTTAGGTTTTTGACAATTTTTTGGATTATATTTATACTGACAGAAATGTTTCACTAATTTGTAATAAAATATGCCCGATTCTACAGTCAGTACAAGCAAAAAAAATGAATATAATTAAATATTGTGTTTGGTTTATTCTGTATTTCATTTAAGATTTTAACAGTATAGTTTCGTCAGTTAAATTTGATGAATAATGTTGATTTTTTATTTAGATTTTGTATGACATTGACCTGACAATAGTCTGAGCATTCAGAGATTTTTTTCTGGTACCTTTTGTCGGTCGGCTTTTTGTAATTAAAAACAAAACTGAATAGAACATGATTTATCATTTGTTACAAGGATACAACATTAAACTTTTGATTTGAATTAAATGTTGTCTATTAAATCTTCTTCTGTAATGTCTGGCTCTGGCAAGGTGTCCTTCACTAATTTTCCAACCAGAAGACTTTCATAGTACGAGTGATATGTAGTTGGGATAACCCCGCTCTTGCACAATGATAGGAGATCTGCTTTCTTTGCAGCAGAAATTTGTAGTTTAGACTCATACAAAGGTGACAGTTTAATATTTCCAGTCTTCTTTTTTCTTCCTCTTAAACTACTTGACTGGAACTTAGCTTCCATAAAATTCTCAGGATCAAAGCCGTTGTTAAAAAATACACTTCCTGGATTTTCTTTCGTTACTCGAATCCACTTGACTTTCAGCCAATTTATTGTTTCTCCCGAAACTGTTCTTTTCAAATTGATGTTAAAGTCGGTTTTTAAGCCTTTTAGGTCATAAAAATCTCTATAGTTTACTGGAATAACTATATAAGGATTTGTCTTCCTCGCCATTGACACGACAGTGTCCCACTGTGACGGATGGTATACCTTTGTACTTTTTTTTGCTCTCTTCACTGACGAGTGTATGGAGTCGGCTTCCATTTCCGAATGACCCCTTTCAAAAAACTTGTGATTAATTGCTTTTAAGTTTGAATGAAAATGTAAGGCATACAGCAATGCAGAGGCCACAAACTGGTTCCTGTTTTGACCACCACAAGTATCTGAAAAGTATGTAATTTCTTCAACAGCGGTATTTTTTTCCGCTATTGAGTTGATGTGCATTAGTATGCAAGATCCAATGTCACTTGAACCCCTTCCGCCATTCGTCTCGTCCCACAAATAACATGTGCCTTTACTATCCCCAAGTGAATAGAATGACAGGTTGTATGTTGACAGACATCTTTTATAAAAAAGATCCCCAACCATGCTACAGGGTGTTGGCAGCACTGCCTCCAAGTCGAAGGTAACTGCAGCGAAAGATCTATCTGTCTTTGCTCTTTCCTTGTCGAGTCTTTTTTCCTCTCTTGATTTCTCTTTCTTCGTTTGGTGTTCTTGAAATTGTTCTTCGTCTTCCTTTGTAATTTCACCTCTTTGTTTCTTCTCATAATAGATAGTACATGTTGAACACTGGTCCTTTTTTGGTTTATGAAATGCCAGGTTAAACTCGTTACAGAAAGTATCACGATATACATTTATTTTACATGGTTTTTTGCCTTTCCTTTGATATTCTTTTTCATAAAGTTGGTGCATCTTTTGTACTGACAGGTTTGAGCTAAGATATTGACGGTTTGAGTCCTTTCGTGTGTAGTGTGATGATACCGTTGGAAATGATTGTATGTGTTCCCTAATAAAATGCCTATCACCTTCTGGAGTTCGGTTTATGGATGGGTTTTTTCCGCGATTATCACGGCCAACAAATACTCCATGCTCTTTCTTTTTCAAGGAATATTCTACTGTTTTTTTGCTGACATGAAGTATTCCCAGAAAGAATGCTTTACAAACTCGCTCTTTTTTCCCGTCTGTAGTTAAAAAATAGGTGTTGGAATTTTCTTTTCTATTTGTGGTACATCTTTTGGACTTAGTTTGCTCTACATGTTGGCAAATAAAGTTTCTTTGCTTCTCATATGATCCCAACTGATAATAAGTGGCGAAAATATCCCCTGCTTGTCGTGCCGTTATCTTTAAAGAGCATTTGAATTTACATTTTGAACAGTCACGATATTGCATCTTTTTCTTTGCTTGTTCTTTTCCTGTTAGACCAGTATAAGGTAAACCGTGTACTCTGTTAAATTGCCTTACATTTCTTTTCCAAACTTCTTGATTCTTTTTTTTCTTTCGAAATAGTTGTTTCTTGACAGGACTTTTATAGTTTGCACGTTTCCTCGGTGTTACTGGAGTACTTCTTTTCCTTTTATTCGTCATAGGTGTTCGCACATTATTCATAACCGGTGGACTACAATCACCTATTGTAGATTGATCTGCTTGAGAGGTTCTTTCAAGAACTTCATCCAAATGACATACTGCATCATAATGCTCCTGACCTTTTATGGCAATTAAAGCAACTTTGATATACTCCTGAGAATGCTCAGTGTCTTGTAAGTCAGGAATAATGTCATAAACTGAATTTGACACCATACTTGAATATATCCTTAATGGTCTGTTGTACATATTAGCTAAGGCCAAAGGCATGAAGTCAGCAAGTTCATTGTTCCAATGCCCATCAATACTAAAATCTTGCAGTAGACTATCAAATTTTTGATTTTGTCCCTCAACAGTTGTTTCATGGTCAAACGATATGAACCTCTTGTAGTGGTAATCCTCACGTGACATGTGATCAACCAGCTTTTCCCTGAGGATTTGGACATTCATGTCATGCCCTTCTGATGAGATATGCTTAACAACTGCTGACAAAAAACAATTCCCATCTGCTATTGTTGGAATTCTTTTCAATCCATTACTGAGTAGGAGGTTGTCTAATCTAATTGTGTGGTATTTCAGAACGATCGTTCTATTCATTGCTGCCTTTTGGCTTAATCTGATGGCTTCTGTTTCTGTTAAGTTTGTTCTATTTGCTTCTGCATTACTTTCTTTTTCTTTAATTTTCCAGGGTCCTGATCTGTGCCTCTGCGAGCTAGTTGCATGTATAATTTTCCTCTGCTTTTCAAACTTCTTTTTTAAACTTTTACCTTTTCTTTTTTCAATTTTTGTCCCGATGCCTTTGCTTCGGTTTTACCAACTGTATACTGGATAAAGATTCTGGTTCACTTACAGAGTCCCTTTCAGATGTCATATCTGAGTTTGAAGATTGAAGATCCTTTTTACATGGTTGATACAGTTCATCTCCTGAATCATCAGACAAATCACTTGTCGGCATAGGTGTCTGTTTCATTAGGATTTGTCTTTTACGGAAATGGTAAAGCTTTTTTCTTGGTACTGGTGTCATGTTGCTTGCTTTTGAACGTTTATCACGAACATTGTTTATATAACGTTTAGCATTTAACAGCCTTTTCAAAGCACTTTTTCTCAAATCATCTTGTTTCTTTAGCCTATGTTTGTTTTTAGTCAGCTTTATGAGTGGTGTATCATCATTTGATGAATCATTAGAGGTATAACCAGCTAAAGTTCGATGTTCAGAAGTTTCTGCTGTCGTTTTATTATTTGGAAGTACGCTTTGGTGTTTTGACTGAACATCTTCATGCTGTACTTGTGTACTTTCTGATCCAATCTGCATATTTTCATCTTGATTTTCACCACTTATATCCCTTATAGTATTAGCTGATGATTGGTCTGTTAAAGTACTGGATAGTTCTATTTCTGATGTATTAGAACGACATGCATTGGTTTCATTTCTACCATTCCCAGGGATGTCATCATGCTGACTTGGCCTGTCTCTGATTGTACTTGATGATTGATCACTTGAAATATTTGATGGTCCACTTTCAGACTCTTCAGAAAGGCAATGGTTTGATTCATTGTCACCATTTCCAGGGCTCTTAGTATGTTGATTGTGACTGGCACTTGTTGTATGATGTGGTTCATCTGTAGATTGTCCACCATTTAATTCATAATAGTTGTGAATTTTCAGCAGGTCAGTGTCTGACCAGTCTGACCATTCCTCCTCGCCATCCATCTGAAAAATTGAAATATTTTCACTTTTATTTTTTATTTTTTATTCAGACCTATTTTATGCTATCAGTCCAACATAAATTGAATACTTCTGTAGACCCCCAGTCTGTCACTATATTTTGATTCAAGAGGTTACTGTATATTCAATTCAAAAGAAGGATTATCATATTTCCTTCTAAAATAATACTAAAATGAGTTTGAAATTTTTTATTTCATGATAAACAGAATATAATTCAAGTACTTAACTGTTATTTTATCAACACACCCATGTAGACCCTCAACACATTCTGCAATGATTTGCTTTGTTTTTGTTTAAAGGTATTTTTGGTGTCATAATCTAATGAATTTAATTGTATTTACGCAAATAAAATTGAAAAATTATCATTTTTTTTTAAATTGTAATTATAGTTAATTACTTACCTTTATAATTTAATTTTCTTTGTCTTTAATGTTATTCTGTTTTCCTCAATGAATACATATTCATACACATATGTTATATATCAGCATCATGTAGAAATAGGATGTTAAGTAATAAAATTAATAACACATGGCTTTTTCTTATCTAAATATTTGATCAGTTACTGAGGGCAAAAAGGTGCTATTTGTCAGATAGCACCTTTTTGCTCTACATGGATTGCAGATAGCACCTTTTTGCTCTTATGGTTTCTTTTAATTGCAGATAGCCCCTTATGTTAGTTAACATTATATGTTTAATTATTATAAATACATATTAGATATTTTTATACAATATAGAGTTGATCTTTTTGCATAGTTTTATATGAAAATGTAAGAAAAGTGGAAAAATGCAGATAGCACCTTTTTGCTCTGAACCCTCGAGATGCAATTGTCTAATTCTGATTTAGATTTCATGATTTCTTTAGTGAAGTTAATGTCTACGTTTCAGATTATTTATCAGAGGTTTTTGACATTGAACTTGTACCAATAATTGATGTAGTGACACAAAATCTCTACAAACACATGGGAAGCTTGAAGCAAAGGAACAACGCTTGTATTTCTCTTCTTCATTTATAGTCACAATTAGGCCTTTGACATGTTTAACATAGAGCAACATTTCTCAATTCACTGCAAGTTCAAAACGGTTCTTAGCACCGGTTTGTACATAAGCCCTGCAAGATATCGGTATAAATAAGTTTATAATTGAAGTTAATACCTTTTTATCAACACCTTAAATATGCATTGTCTTGTGTCAGTTTATTTCATCAAGTATTATAAAAACTAATCCAAGATACAAGGCTTATAATTTGGTATGCTAGACGCGCGTTATGTTTACATTAGACGCATCAGTGGTGATCGAATCAAATGAGGTGGTAAGCCAAATCAAATACAAAACTGATGAACATTAAAAGCCGAAAATTCTAAAAAGTTGCGAGAACAAAATCTATTTTAACAGAAGACACTTAAATAATGTGTCTTTTTTTTCTACCTATATTTCATTTTCTTTCAAACATATGATATTTCTTTCCATAATGGTTTAACTGTCTGTCTTCAGTTCTTTGATTGTATATGTTAAATTTATTCACAACTTTTACTTTTTATCTATAGACTCAGAACGATAAAGAGCTTTATATATAGTGTGGACACATATTTAATGTTGAAACTGTATGCTGCACTCTATATGTCTTTTTGATATTTTGTTGTAGTGTTCTTGTCTCATTGATGACGCATTTCTCCTTTTATTCATTAACATTCGGCTAGTCAATTTATTTGAAATCAAACCAAAAGAAATATTTTTTTCAAAATTTATTCAAGTGGGAACAGTTTTTCTCTTGAAATATTTGAGAAATGAGATATCGGCACAACGTATTGTCTAACCAGTTCGTGATGGTGATCATTAAACTTATATATCTTTTCCTGGTATATGACATCTTCCGAGTAGAATTATCACCGGGTTTGTACTTACATGAGCAACAAAACGGGTGTCACATGTGGAGGAGGATCTGCTTAACCTCACCGGAGCACCAGATAGCACCCCTGGTTTTTGGTGGGGTTCGTATTGTTTATTCTTTTGTTTTCTATGTTAAACGTTGTGTTTTGTATACTGTTGTTTTTTTTTGTCGTTTTTTGTGTTTTGCCATGGCGTTGTCAGTTTGTCATTGACTTATGAGTATGAATATCATTTTGTATCTTGCGCCTCTGTCTTATATAGTGTTAATTTCAGTCACCTTTCTCGTATCTTTATTGGATCAGTTTTTGTGTAAGGAGCACACGACTGTTAATGAAGTTTGAACATGCCCGAGCTTAACGTATTAACTGCGATATATTATTAGGCAGAGTCACTAAATGCACTATAACTTTAAAACTCAAGCAGATAGAAGAAATAGGAGACACTAAGCTATGTCTTTACTAAAACTTTCAGACGATTAGTTAATTGAGATATTACCTAATTTGTTGGTCGTCATGCATTTTGAAATATTTTGGAAATGAATTTCAAAGAAAAATTGATAGAGAAAAACATATATTCTAAAAAGTTGCGAGAACAAATTCTTTTTTAACAGAAGACACTTAAAAAATGTGTCTTTTTTTTCTACCTATATTTCATTTTCTTTCAAACAAATGATATTTCTTTCCATAATGGTTTAACTGTCTTTCTTCAGTTTTTTGATTGTATATGTTAAATTTATTCACAACTTTTACTTTTTATCTATAGACTCAGAACGATAAAGAGCTTTATATATAGTGTGGACACATATTTAATGTTGAAACTGTATGCTGCACTCTATATGTCTTTTTGATATTTTGTTGTAGTGTTCTTGTCTCATTGATGACGCATTTCTCCTTTTATTCATTAACATTCGGCTAGTCAATTTATTTGAAATCAAACCAAACAAAATATTTTTTTTCAAAATTTATTCAAGTGGGAACAGTTTTTCTCTTGCAATATTTGAGAAATGAGATATCGACACAACGTATTGTCTAACCAGTTCGTGATGGTGATCGTTAAACATATATCTTTTCCTGGTATTTGACATTTTCCAAGTAGAATTATCACCGGATTAGTACTTACATGAGCAACAAAACGGGTGTCACATGTGGAGGAGGATCTGCTTAACCTCACCGGAGCACCAGATAGCACCCCTGGTTTTTGGTGGGGTTCGTATTGTTTATTCTTTTGTTTTCTATGTTAAACGTTGTGTTTTGTATACTGTTGTTTTTTTTTGTCGTTTTTTGTGTTTTGCCATGGCGTTGTCAGTTTGTCATTGACTTATGAGTATGAATATCATTTGGTATCTTGCGCCTCTGTCTTATATAGTGTTAATTTCAGTCACCTTTCTCGTATCTTTATTGGATCAGTTTTTGTGTAAGGAGCACACGACTGTTAATGAAGTTTGAACATGCACGAGCGTAACGTATTAACTGCGATATGTAATTGGGCAGTCACTAAATGCACTATAACTTTAAAACTCAAGCAGATAGAAGAAATAGGAGACACTAAGCTATGTCTTTACTAAAACTTTCAGACGATTAGTCAATTGAGATATTACCTAATTTGTTGGTCGTCATGCATTTTGAAATGTTTTGGAAATGAATTTCAAAGAAAAATTGATAGAGAAAAACTCTAAACAGTGAAATTAATAAACAAGTAAATTGATAAAAAAATCATCCAAAATAACCTCATTCGTTATAGTTTACTCTTTGCAGATACTATATTATAACGAGGTGAACCAAATTTAAGCATTAGATGCGTTTGCTGTTTATAGGTAAAATATTATGTTTTAATTGGACTTATCATTTTTTATTTCGTGCTTTGTATCTTTTCCCTCTTTTTGTCGATGTTTTTTACTAGTTATGACTATCAATGGAAAGCTGAACTATTTAGTTTAGGTTCTAAATTAGATTTCAATTCATCCATTATGCAGTTATGCTAACCAGTAAGCTGCAATAAGTGTCCACCATTTAAGATTCTTATGAATTTGCAATTTCTTTTTTCAAAATCAGAACAACAGCATTGTGATCAATATTTTAATAGAGAAAGAAAAACAAATCACAATATTATTTTAACAATTGCACAATATCGAAATTAGAGAAACATATTACTGGTCTTATGTTTTGTTTACGGAATCTACGAAATTTACGTGAACGTTTATCCGCGAATAATGTGTACGTCTATATCTTAAGCAATTATGCCTCGACTTTATAAATGGGTTCGGATCTGGTCAATTCAAATTTCTATACCTTTGCATATAAGCTCATTGTACCATATATATATTTTTCAAGTAGTTTATAAATATATTCTACTGGTTTGTATGCCGAGTTTATTTTCCAAATTGTTGCAATAGCAGAACAATTTCTTGGTAACGTTTTTCTTTAGCGATACGTAGAGGACTTTTTCGGTTTTCACCAGATATATTTTGATCAGCTTTGTTTTCGAGAAGAATTTTTACTATCTGTATATGACCCTTTTCGCAACCCTTGTACAACGGACTATGGTCCCGGCATTCGTAACTTACTGAACATAAATTAGGATCGGCATTGTTCTTAAGCAAAATTTTGACAATTTGGACATTTCCATTCTCCGAAGCTTTAAACAGTGGTGGTTCAACGTCCTGGTGCTCCATTTGTAAATTAGGATTCGCTTTATACGTAAGCAGCAGTTTTATAATAGTCATCCATCCATATGTTGCACTTATACATAAAGGTGATAAGCTTATATCCATTGAGTCAAGTCTACATAAGTTTGGGTTACTTTCATTTTGTAGTAATAAAAGAACAATATCTGAAAATCCCATTTCGGAAGCAACGCATAAGGAAGAATCTGATTTTATGATGGTTTCTGTTTCTGAAAACATAACAGCGTGTCGCCTGTTAATTTTAAAGTGAACAACCCCATTTACATCTGCTTTGTAATCAATTAACAATTTAACTATATTGGTGAATCCCTCTCTTGAAGCTATGTACAGAGGATGTAAGCCATCTTTTGTTCTTGAATTACTGTCTGCCTTGTGTTCGAGTAATAATTCTACTATTTCATTGTGACCATACTTCGACGCAATACATAAAGGGGATTGTTCGCAATGCATGAAATCTTCAGAAATCATATTTGGATCACTGCTACTTTCGAGCAACAATCGTACTATGTCGGTGTGACCTAGTCGTGCGGCGATGAACAGTGGAGATTTTTGATTCCCACAAAAAGTAATGTCACATTTGTTCTCAAGTAAAAGTTCAACTATATCGGTAAGACCTAGATTTGCCGCGATATAAAGTGGGGTTTTCTTATCTTCAGTGCGTACATTTGGGTCTGCCTTGTGTTTTAGTAATAACTTAACAACTTGCGTGTGTCCTTTCTCTACGGCTATAAAAAGCGGTGTTTTGCTGGTTTCCAATCTACGTGTATTAGGATCACAATCATAAGCCAGCAATAGTTTGATCATTCCAACATGACCATTTTCAGATGCGATAAACAAAGGAGTTGTTCCGAATTTATTCATAACATTCACGTCTAAATTGTTTTTGAGTAACGCCTTCATGATATCAAGATAGTTTTGCTGGGATACAACATTCAGAGGCGATGTATCTCTTAATATTTGTAGCATTTCAACCACGATTGATTTTCTACGTAAATGTTCAATGAATTTTAGCCTGAAAGTTAAAAACTGCAATTGTTTATTTGTGAATACCTGTTCTACATATCCATTCATAATATCCTTGCATAATCGTTCCATATAATCTGATTCTTTTTCGATCGGTACAGAAATTACCTGCGAGTGTTTTTCTTGATACCTTCGGATTATTTCGAAATGAAACCGGTCACGAATAATATCGGGATGACTCAGTCGCAATATGACGTCGAACATGTGTCGGCCATAAAAAGAAACGATAGTGTCAAACCATTTGTCGTGAATTATATTATAAGCCTCTGTTTGAATTCTAACATACGTATTTGATAGCCCTTTCAGTTGGTCTTTAACAACTTTCGATGACAGAGTGGACGATGTCGTAACATTATCTGCTATTTCTTGCAAGATATCTCTGAAAGATGGTAATTCAATAGCAAGTTTGTCAACTTTATTATTGAATATAACAAACAATGCCAACACTGCAAAGGTTGTCTGGTCGGGCGTATTTTTAAATGATGTTAATTCATCTTCAATCACTTGAGTTGGATTTTTAAAAAAAATTGTTATATCGCTAAATCTTTTTGTCGAGTAAAATTGACATAGTAGAGGCAAACAATCATATGCGTTGAATTCAACCAAATCCTTGACAGTGTTCACTTCTTCTGGAGTCAGGTACGATTTAGCAATTAATGTTCTTTCCTCATTTGACAAATTAAATTGAGGTGATAGCATGTCATGGTTGATTGATGAAAGAATATCGACATTTTGAAATTGTGCTTCATTAAATATGTGCGTCCTGCACGTGAACAGACATTTTAAAAATCCGTCTTTAAAACACAACTTTATTTCATTTGACAAATCTTTCCAAATCATTAATTTGTGAATATCGAGGGAATACTTTCCACATACGTCATCAAAAACAAATAATAGCTTTTTTCCTTTTACGTAGTATGTCATTAAATCTTTTGGTGAATGCACCGCGAAAATTTGATACTTTAGTTCTCGTTCTAAATATAATGCAACATGATGAACGGCAGTCGATTTTCCACTTCCTGAAACTCCTGTTACAGTAACAACATTATTGCACTTAGTTTTATCAATCAACCATTTTATAGCATTAGTCAAAACAACTACGCGTGTATCTGTTTTGGACCATTCTGCTTTAACATACTCTTGAATATCTGAAAATTATACCACTGATAATAAAATAATGCAAATTCATGACTGTTTACTCGTATGAAAGTATATTACATATTTTATTTTCAACGTCTTATATCTTATTTCTTAAGTTGAAATACATCCAATCCCTCAGTTTTTTTAATTATTTTTACAATGATTTGTATCTTCTTAATGTAAACATCGTTAAACTACTATAAAATTCTAATATCCAATATCTTTTCAAATTATAATCATTGTTATTTGGAATCCATAGAAAAGCAGTATAGCTTGTTTGCCTTTATATTTGTTTGTTTGTTTATTCAAAGACAGACTCAGACCGAATTAGTATCATCAAATCACTTCAAATGGATGATATTGTAACAACATATACGAATTTTTGTTTGTGACATGCTTACTCGACAACATACGATAACAATTGAGTGAGCTCGACTTACACAAATATAAAATTATTCTATCAAAATATATATGATATATTCTTTGATAAAATAATGTGATAATTGTGATAATTTTTTTTATAAAATGATGTAAAAATTGTGATATGTTTTTTGATAAAATAATTTGATATTTGTGTTAAGCGAGGTAACTCTGTAGTTTATCTTTTGTTTTCGAGCAAACATGTTCTAAGAAATTATTTTACGGGAAGCTCAGCAAAATAGTGTTATAGTGTTGTATCTCCACTATTTTATTTAGATATTTTTGCTCTTCAAAATTTGTTTTCAAAATGACCAGAGTAGTACTATAGTTAATCCTCACCAAATCATGTATTGCAGATTTGTAGAAATTAGAGTTTCCAAAATTCATGGTCTATCTCTATTAGAAACAAAGGACATAATTTATAGAAAAGGGGGTGGTTTTTCATAGTCCATATTTTTGCTCTTCAAGTCAAATAAATATTAAGGATCTTACTCTAAACTTTATATTTATTAACCACCGTTTAGAAACATGGAGTTTGATCATTACAATACTCACATGACGTTTTGTTAACTATCAGTAATAATTTAATATTCGCAATACAAAGACTCTGGATGGGTGTAATTTACAAACAGTAAATCCAACTGGGTACGTTGTTACAACTTAGTACCTAGTATGGATAGTTGTGGATTTCAGAAAAATCTATACTTGGAGTTTTATTCTAAACGTGAAAACAAAAATGTGCAGATGGCTAGCTTTTAAATATCTACAATTACAAGCATTAACCTTGTTGCGTTTATTGACATAAACGCAACAAGGTTAATGCTTGTAATTGTAGATATTTAAAAGCTAGCCATCTGCACATTTAAAAGCATATCGTTTACTTTGAGCAACGCGTTTTCAGGTAAAGCTGGCAAATTATTTCCTTTAGTATTACAGATAATTTATACATTTTTCGGCATCTGCATTTTACTGGATGACATTGCCTTCAAATATAATGTTTAAATTTTAATTATATTTGATCTATCAAGAATTTTACTTTTAAATACACTACGTGTATTGTTTGTACAAAGCGATCTTGTAGTCTATTTATTTGATAAATGCATGTGATAAGTGTTTCATTTGAAGTAAAAATTATGGTACTATCCTATAAATTGAATTATAATAAATAATTCAAGAGCTACAAATAACATTAAACCATGAAACTTCTATTAACTGTCTATAAGTACCCTTTACAGCTGGTGGTAAATTCGCATCAAGACGCTTGTGCCTCAACTCTTCGCATTGGTCTTTAAATCTGGTACCACCAAGTCTTATAATTGCCTGTTTTATTGAAAAAAACATCATATTTAAAATTGATACACAGCATGTTACGGCCAGAAATCACCTTTAAATGGTAGCCAACAAAAGACACAAATCAATAATAAAATTTAACAAGATTTATTATACACAAGTTTACAAGAAATATTATACAGAATGAAATGTCAACTTAACTGTTAAAATATATTTCCGATCCTTTGTCTTTTCATTATCCAGAATTCTTCTCTTAACTGTACAGAATATGTCCAATTTAGTATGATGAAGTTAACGTAAATAAAAATCCAACAACTCCAGAAAATTTCTGTGAAACCAAGTGTAATAATGTCTAATGAGTCAGTCTAACTTAAGTGTCTGTATATATATATAGTTGTCACGGAAATCTCTAAAACACTGTAGAAGAGAAACTCCTAGAAAACCGTAGAACGGAAACTTCTAGAATACGATAGAAGTTTAAATTACACATCGTAGATTATGATCATTCCAGAATCATTGTGTGAGTCAAATAGAAAGTTCTAATCATTCCATCAGTATCTATGATTGTTCCAGTGATTTCTTAACTGCACAATTATAATGTATTTTGTAAACAACTATAAGGCCACACAAAACAAATTAGGCCAATATAAATAAACATGAAAATTACAATATCATAAAACCTTCCCCCTTAAAAAGAAGTTTGAGTGTAACGAGAATTTTTCATGAACAATATATATAAAAATACATAGTATGTATACACATGATACAGTGTTTTAATAAGATCTAGACAATGCATCTGCTATTACATTATCTTTACCTTTAATATGTTTTACAATAACATCATATTCCTGTAACAATAAATTCCACCTAGTCAACCTCTGCTTCTTGTTTCTCATTTTATGTATGAAGGTGAGAGGATTATGATCAGTATAAACAAGAATAGGATGCATAGTGGGATTTTAATATACATTAAAATGTTGAAGTGCAGACAACAGTGCAAAACACTCTTTTTCAATAGTTGAATAATTTTTCTGATGTTTATCTAATTTCTTAGAAATATATGATATAGGTTTCTCAACATTATCACCTGTTTCTTGATATAAAACGGCTCCAATTCCAACATCACTTGTGTCAACGGCAAGTTTGAATTGTTTTTCAATGTCTGGAGTGATCAGAACAGGACTGTTACTTAGAAGTGATTTGATATTTTCAAAACCGTTTTGACAATTATCACTCCAGATAAATTTAGAGTCTTTCCATAAAAGATGAGTCAATGGTTTAACAACAGTAGCAAAATTTGAACAGAATTTCCTGTAAATCCAATCATACCTAAATATCTCATAAGTTGTTTTTTATTTGTAGGAGGAGGAAATTTGGTAATTGCATCCACTTTAGCCATGATAGGTTTCACTTGACCTTGGCCAACTGTATGCCCTAAATAACATTTGCCTGACAAAATTCACTTTTACCAAGATTAAGTCAAATTTGATTATGACAATCTATCAAAAGTATCATATAAATGTGTTAAATGTTCTTCCCAGCTATCACTACATACAATAAGATCATCAATATAAGCATAACAACAGTCTAAATCTTTTATAACATTATTGATCATTCATTGAAATTTAGCTGGAACACTTTTCATACCAAACGGTACGACAGTATACTGAAATAAACCGTATGGTGTAGCAAAAGCTGATATTTCACGAGCTCTCTTTGTCAAGGGGACCTGCCAGTAACCTTTCAATAAATCGAATTTGCTCACAAATTTTGCTTGCCCAATATTATCGATTCAGTCGTCTATCCTTGGAATTAGATAGGAATCAGATTTTGAAACTGAATTTACTTTTCTGAAATCAGTCACGAAACGAAAGGTTTTATCTGGTTTGGGCACAAGGAGACAAGGAGAGCTCCATTCACTATTACTCGGCTCAATTATATCATTGTCAAGTATATATCTAATTTCTTGTCTCATATAATCAAGTTTTAGTGGATTCTCTACGATCAAAAGTCAGATGTGCAAGTTATGAGTCTAAATTTGACAAAATTTCTGAATGTTTCAATCTAACTGTTTGTTCTATAGTCTTTGAATCAAAAGGTGGTTCAATTATATCTGGTTTGCCAAGATCGTTCTCCAATTTAACTATGGCTGAAGTGGCAACTGGTTTGCTCTCACCTTCATTATTACGCCGACCTGGTGTTTCACAATATAATTCAAATCATTAATTTTACTCTCTATGGTATAAAGACCACAATATTTAGCCTGTAAAGGATGTTCAGGGACTGGCAACAATACAAGAACCTTATCACAAGGCTCAAAAACTCTGTCCCTGGCATCTTTGTCATACCATATTTTCATCTTATTCTGAACAGTTTTTAAGTTTTTCTGAGCAATTTGACAAGCAGTATACAATTTTTCTTTAAATCTAGAAACATAGTCTAACAGATTCAAGTCAGTGTGTTCAGTAAGCCATTTTCCTTAACCAATTTCAAAGGTCCCATTACAGTATGACCAAACACCAACTCAAAGGGGCTAAAACCAAGAGATTCCTGAACAGCCTCTCGGACCACAAAAAGAAGAAAGTGAACACCATCATCCTAGTCCCTGTCAAATTGAAGACAAAAGTTCTAATCATGTTCTTCAATGTTTGATGAAAACGTTCTAAGGCATCTTGAGATTCTGGATGATAAGCACTTGACCTATACTGAGCAATCCCTAACTAGTAAACTACCTGCTGAAATAAACCTGACATGAAATTTGAACCCTGGTCGGACTGTATAGACTTCGGAAGTCCTACTAGAGCTTTGACAATAGTTGTTGTGTTGATATTCATTAACGGAGTAGCCTCAGGAAAGCGAGTGGATGTACACATGATTGTTAATAAATACGCATTTCCAGTCTTGGTCTTTGGTAAAGGTAAACAACGCAATCAATAAGTACTCGACTGAAAGGTTCTTCAAAGGCTGGAATTGGCAGAAGTGGTGCTGGTGGTATTTTCTGGTTAGGCTAACCAACAACCTGGCATATATGGCATGATTGGCAGTATTCTTTGACATCATTTCTAAGTCTGGGCCAGTAGAAATGCTGCAAGATCTTAAGGCAAGTCTTCCTTATACCTAAATGTCCGGCCAAGGGGGTGTCGTGGGCATGACCAATAATTTCTTGCTTATAGACTTTAGGCACCACTACTTGGTATACCACTCTCCATTCTTCCTCTGGGATAGCATCAGGGGGCCTCCACTTCCTCATTAAAATGCCGTCTTGATGGTAGTAACATTCGGCAACTTTGTCTGCTTCTTCCTGTGGTCGAGCCCTCTTTCAGAGCTGAAGAACCTCAGGGTCTTTATTTTGTTCTTTCACAAATTTTCTTCTGTCTAATGAATGGCTGTTCACGTCTGGCCATGGCATAATTACATTCTTGTTACTAGTAGTACTAGGTGGTCTTACTATGGACTTTTCTGAGCTACCAGGACCTTTAATGTCGGCAAGGAAAGTGTCAGAAAGGTCCACGTAATCATACTGGTCTTCATGTAAATCCTCATTGTGTTGTTTTCTTGCCATCGCCCTATTAACAACACAAGCTGGATACAGTTCAGCATCATCATCTGGTGATTTAACATCCACCACCGGTTCACTGGTAACAGTTGGTTCAACAACCACTTTGTTCCTAGCTAGATTATTTCCTAGTAATAATCAAACACCCTCAACAAGGAGATTAGGAAGAACACCCTCAACAACTGGTCCAGTAATCAAATCTGACTTCAGATAAATACGATGGAGGAGAACATCTATACAACATAACTCCACACCTTGTAACAAAACGGAGGCACCAACAGAAGTCTATTCGGACAAAGGTAACACACCTTCTAACAATAAAGTCTGAGAAGCTCCAGTGTCCTGTAAAATCTTAATAGGCTGAGGAGTAGTTTTATCAACAATAGAAACAAACCCATCAGACATAAAGGGTTTATAATCCTCCATGTAAATCACAAAAACTGGACTTAAAAGCCTGACTCTCAGGACATTCCAACCTATTGGTAACAAGGGGTGTCGTACAAGCACTGGTTTGTTATCTCTTTCATTCTTCTTCTGGAATCGAAAACAATCAGCCATCAAGTGACCATTTTTCTTACAATAAGCACTAATTAGTGACTTCTCAAAAGTATCAAATTTTGGACTAGACATATTATAACTAGACTGAATCTTATTCTGTGCAACAGGCTTACTATCAGTACGCTCAGTACTTTGGTGTTTGTACTTTCCACTTGAAGTATTAAAATTCTGACCTTTGAAACTTCTTCTATGTGAAAGGGTATAATTATCGGAAATAACAGCTGCATCTTGTAATGTCTCAACAGTTTTGTCATCTTAATGTGTTTTTAAGTCTAAATGAACACACTGCTTGAACTCTACTAACAACATCAATTGTCTTATATTATCAAAATTGTTATCTATTTTCTTTGACCTCAGCCATTTATCAAATAGATCTTCTTTTTCCCTAGCAAATTCAACATAGGTTTGTGAATCAAAGAATCACAAATTATAAGACCTAAATTTCTGTCTATATGCTTCTGGTACTAGCTCATAAGCTTTCAAAACTTCCTGTTTTACCGTGTCATAATCAGAACTTCTTTCGGATGAAAGTGCTGAGTAAATTTCAGCGGCCTTGCCCTCAAAAACACTTTGCAGCATTGTAGTCCAATAAGGCTTTGGCCATTTCAAATTTTGAGCAATTTTCTCAAACTGTGGAAAATATTTATCAACTGTTTTTTTCACAAAGTCTTGGACCCAGACGTATATTTTTTGCTGCATTAAAAACATTCTGACTTTTGACCCAACTTTAGTGTTGCTTTCTTCTTTGACCATTTCAATTTTAATTTTCTCCATCTCTAGCCTTTCTCTCATTTCAAGTTCTGCCTGTTTTAATTTATATTAATCTTCTCTTTCTTTTATTTCTCCACCTCTAACCTTTCCTCTTTTTCCAATTGTTTTATTAAAACTTCTTTTTCCAATTGTTTTTCACATTGTT